GAACCATGGACTCATTTTGTGAAGAAAATACATCCCATAGACCATAATTCCCCAAGACCTTTATTTATTTGATTTCTGTTCCCTGAGATCACGGCCCCATGACATGCAATTCTCAGTTCTGTGTGCCTCCCAGGAAACAGCATTCATAAAAATCATTTCACAGCCGACTTCAATGCCAAACCAACAATAAAATATTCTAGCACATTCTCACAAGGAAGGCAACCATGGACAGCCACTGTTCCATTCTTTGTACGTTGAAAAGACATCTCTCAGTAAAAGCCATCAAAGCTCTCTCCAGAACAGACCACACAGTGACCTCCTTTTTCATAGATATGACCTTGGATGTCAGACTCCAAAATAAGCTAATTGAAGCCTCACCAATTCCAGCTCTTACAAATCTGAAGACATTATCAACATTCACATCTTAGCAATTCTTTTTCTGTTAATGAAGTAATTTTGAGTAAAAAAAAAAAAAAAAAAAAATAGGAGGGAATTCATATGGAGGGATCTCCAAGGCACTGGGAGTTCAGCATTCTCTCTTCCAAAGTCAGTCAGGAAACTTCTCCTCCTGTCGGTGCCCAACCTTTACAGACAATCTGTGCCTTACACCCTCCTTCTATCACAAGCCTCCCTCCCATTCCTGGGAGATTTGAGTGTGTTCTACTCAATCGTCTACCCAATGCCATCATGTTGCACATTTATTAAAACAAGACAGGAAAACTGTTCTGATGAGGGGCGGCTCTGTTACAACATAAAGTAGGTATTTGCAGACAGATCTCTTCTCTACATACTCCTGTGCTTTCTGATGTAATGCGCAAACAAACAACTGCCCCCTTCCATGGAGGGATGGTGGTGGGGGGTGTCTTTTTGTCCTCACAATGCTGAGTGCCTCCTGATCATGATTTTCATGTCCTGCAAGACAGGCAAATGGCTCGATATTTAAGAGCACATGCACCCAAATGTTTGAACACATAGCCTGAGTTTACTAGATAACTTTCATCAAATCAACAGGTTATTCAACTTCTTATTTATTGTTTTTTCAACACACACATGTACACACACACACACACACACACACACACACACACACACACACACTTCGAATGTTTAGTCATACTGGAAGGGGTTGGTAGGAAAGCTAACCTGACAGATTCAGGCAAATGAGGGCTTTATAAAAATGTGTGACTTGAGCTCACATGAGGCAGTTTTGGCTCAGTGTGTGTGTGTGTGTGTGTGTGTGTGTGTGTGTGTGTGTGTGTACTGTGTTGTCAGCCCCACAGTTATACAAATATTTGGTGGCAAGTTTAGACATAGAGCAAAGCAGTCCAGGCAGTGATTTTCTTGTTTGGACACTGAACAGATCTGAGTAATAGTCTCCATGGAACCTTACAAACCCATACCTTGTTTGAAACAGAAAAATTAATTTATCATCATTTCTCTTAGTGTTTCTTTTACTTTTTTATAAAACTAATCCGGTTTTCCATCCCTGGTCACTCTTCTATGACTCAGATCATAGAGTACTAATATTGCAAATCTAGACTGTATTGCAGAAGTTTGATTTTTATCTATTCCTGTACAGAATCTGGTGATTGAGTTTTAGCGCCTTTCATCTTCCTAAGTATATTTGCAAAAGAATGAGTCAATTTAACATACTTTCATTCAGCCATTTAATAACACTCATTGCGGGCCCTGGGAAGGTGCCAGCTATCAAGGCTGAAAACCGACTCCTATGCCCTCACTCTTCTTGATACAAGGGGAGAACTAACAAGGTGTCCTGTGACCTCTACACATGTGCCATGACACACACACACACACACACACACACACACACACACACACACACACATTAAAAAAAGCCCGACTCTCACAAGGTGCCCTATGACCTCTACACACATGCCCCTATGACCTCTACACACATGCCCCTATGACCTCTACACACATGCCGTAGCACAAACACGAATTAATAAAATATTAAATGTAAAACACAAACTTAGGAAGTGCACCCACTGGTTCCTACTTTCTTTTGCTTCTGTTTTTTTTCTCCTGAAATATTTGACTCTTCATGAGTACCACACTGCTCCTCTTCAGTGTCTCAGCATCACCAAAGCAAGACTCTTCCTGGTGTAACCGCAACACTTGAAGGTGTCCTCTCATATGCAGACCACATTTTAGTTTGCCTCTCGTCCCCAGATAGCTTCACAGTTGCTTGGTTTTTCAGTAGGATGTAATTAAGGTTTGCTATCCTTACATGTGTGCTGTGTCTTTCCTGTAGAGAACAGAGGTCACCAACTCTAGGCCACCGGACAGTGATGTGCTGTTTCTTCTTTCGTATTTCTCCAGCTGAGAAGACTTTTCAAATGGTTAAAGAGTTGCAAAGCCAAACTACAACTAAACAACAACAACAACAAGACCTAAAGAAGATCATGCAACAAAGACCTTCTGCTAGCTACGGAGCATGAAATAATTGCAGCTGTCCAGACAGATGTTTGCTGGCATCAGTTCTGAAATGCCACCCTCAGCTCCCTTTACTTTTTGAGAAAATCCAGCTCATGTATTCTTCATGGCTAGACTCAGGCTAAAACAACGTTTTCTATTAATATAAATTAATTCCTATCATGAGTATACCTTCTAAAGTATTCTTTCTTTAGCAACTCCAAATTTTCACGTTGTGTAGGAATAATGAAATAATAAACACTTATACTGTTACATTATGCAAACTCCACGCACAAAATGTGTTCATGTTCCATTCCATCATGCGCTAAGGGAAGACTTCCCAGTCTGGCTAATAATCTCAATATGTCAATATACACATGCGCATACCATTATCCCCATTGCAGTCCTCTCTACAGGTTTAGCACCAACCTGAAAGAATGCTTGTGTGGATGATTTTTGTAAAGTAAATACAAAATGCAAATAAAATACCCAAGAGATGGAAAGGAGTCATAACAGCATCGACTACAATCTTGAAAAATACAGTGCTTAATTATAGGTTGGACTAGAGAACAGCACACAAAATAATCAATTTTTTCACACACATTTTCTTAATTTGTAGTATCAAACTCATCATTCACTATATTTTATTTTAAATATATGCCAGAATCTGTATTTCTGTGGATACTTTAATGGGCATGCAAAAAAAAAAAAAAGAATAGAGTCAGTCATGAGAGTTGAGATCATGTTTAATACACAGTTGAGTGTATGTGTTTGTGTGTTGACAACGACAATAAATCACCAATATAATAAAACATGGGAGTCAAATTTAAAAAAAAATACCAACACAAATTAGGTAGATATAAGCAGAGTATGAAAAATTGGAGAACAATAATAATTTCAAATTCATTGGAAATTTTTGAATCTTATGTTTCCTTATAATATTTAGGTGGTGTGTTTTAGGCAATGTGTCCTTTATTATAAAAAAAAAGACCTATAAAAGGTGAAATGATGCCCTAAGGGGAATACAGGCTATAGGAAAAGTAGATTGTTGGTTTACTTTAAGTGAATATAATGTGAGCACTCATTACCTGCTCCTGGTGTTCCTAAGGATGAGAGGTATAAATCTAATATAACACACTCCAGCCCTGAGGTGTTCAGATGGTGTGGTTAAAGGCATGATTCCCCCGGATGATGATACAATGTCCTCACTCTGTACAGGAGATATGATCTACAGGCCTGCGGATTTGCAGGAAGAAAAAAAAATAGTCCCAAATGAAAAAAGACACACTTTTGTCAGGGTTGACGTCACTGGGAGTTTAAGCAGGAGATGTTGCCCATCAGATAACAAGGAACACAGGTGCTTGATCACTGGAGAGCCTTTCAAGGCAAAGCCTGTGCCATACACAAAAGCAATAAGGCAGAGGAATGTCAGACATCTTCTATAAGCAGCTGAAGGTTAGATGTGGTCAGGAACAAATTTCCCATGTGTAGAGAGGGAAGAGCACAGGGTGCGTTAAGTCTGACTGGGAGGATAAGTCTGCCTATCTGTTTGCCAGGAGTGAACAAAACTCCTGAAAAGAAGCTATGTCTGGCTGTGAGCAAATAACTCCTGGCTTCCGTTTCTGCAGAGACTGATGGACTGATGGGAATTTCAGGACTGTGGCAAGATTGGAATTTTGTAGGTTCAGAGGCTAATTACTTTATCCTGAGCTAGTTTTAGCCTTTGGAACAACCATGCCTTCCCCACTCTGTATTGAACTAACATCTCGTGGTAATGACTAAAACCGCTTAGACACCATCAATTTAGCAGAACACTAGCCTCCACCAACCCAAGAACGTCATCAGATAACATCTTAGGCCTAGAAAAAAGCTTCCCCCACCTCGATGTACCTGCCTGTTTGGTGTACCCACCAATGTGTTTTAAAGTTGCTTTGATTCGTGACCTGATTTTTAATCTGTAAACTATATATATATATATATATATATATATATATATATATATATATATATATAATATAAATATATAATATATTATATATAAATATTATATATATATATTTATATAAAGAATATATAAAGAAAACCTGTGAAACTGCTTCCACATTGAACATGGATGTCGGGGTAACCTAACCTGTGTTCTCAGGCCGTGATTACTCATAAGGGCTTCAGAATAAACTGTCTCTTGTTCCCTTTAAGATGGGATCTGTGGTTTCCCATCTGACACTGGGGAAGGAAAATCAAGTTAGAGACCTTAAAAATTGGTTAGCATTTCTCTGAGTTAACAAAGAGCTTCTGGAAATCAGAGGGATTTGCAGTCCACCGGCTACTGTCTATTGCCTCGAGTGTGTGATTTTACAAGCAGTCACTTGCTCTATTCAGAAAATGTGATATTTTTCACAGCAGAGTCAGAACAGCCACAACAATTTTTTTTTTCAGAGAAAACATTGCTAAGAATCTCTGAACTCCCTAAGGATGTGAATGCACACGGCCATCTCTTGGTGTTCAGCTGAAAGGATTTAATGAACTTTTATGGTGGTGGCCAGGGACCGGGATTGGTTCAGACTCACCCACAGGCACCAGGAAACCAATTCAGCATTTGGGAGTCCAGGGGGTGCAGAAGCTGCTCTTGGTGAGGCTGCTGAATGCAAAACTCCTCGGGTAAATCCCTTTCTGATTCTCTGTGGGATGATGGAGGAGGCTCTTCTGCTCCCAACTGGTGTTGCTCGGGGCCCTCCCTCAATCTTCCATCCTCAGTTGCTCTCCTGTAATGAACCTGGCCAACTGGCTGTCTCTCGAGCGTCTGTCTGCAGCTGCTTTCTGCCGCCGTTGGTTTTATCTTCATTCTCTCCCTCGTCATTTTGATGTGTTTATGTTCCGTCTTACAGCTGGACCATTAAGTCTCCTCGGATCTTACTTGGGCCATTTTAGCACATGGTGAACATCCAGAAAAGTCTCTCCAGTTTTTAACTTTTAATATATGGTTCTGAAATCCCTTAGGCAAACCTGAGGGGGAAAAAGGAATCCAGGGAATTCAGAAAATTGTTATCATAATCAAGGAGCTTCATTAGTTAGATTTGAGTTTTCTGCAAGCACGTGGGATTTTTTTTTTGTTTTTTGTTTTGTTTGTTTGTTTGTTTGTTTTGTGTGTGAGTGTGTGTGTGTGTGTGTGAGTGTGTGTGTGTGTGTGTGTGTGTGTGTGTGTGTGTGTGTGTGTGTGTTATCAGATAGGAGACTATAAAATAAAACTGTGTTGGAAAACAGCCAGAGAAAAGTCAAGCAGGGAAGAGTTAGAAGAGGTTCCCTTTCTGAGCCATTGATGTCTATGAAGCTAAGAATCTAATTATTTGCTTTAGAGCCTGTTGGACTACAACTTTCAAAACAATTTTCCTGGAAAACATATTTTATTACCAAGAAGATTTCATTGATTTTTTTAAATGTTGTAGAAGTATTAAATGTGCCTTATAAACACTGTTAGCATATTTTAAATAAAATGTCACCTTGCCAAGCCACAAACTCCCTTCAGCCTTCTTGCACAGATCAGCACAGCTTGAATTCTGGGAAGCCCCACCAAGATTGTGGTCACAGATTTCCATCACGGCTAACAGCAGGCCAGCTTGGAAATGAAGCAAATATCAGTTCACTCGGAGAGAAAACATGGCAGCTGAGAAAGAAAGAATTTGGCCCACATCCTGGACTTGGGTTCCACGCTGAGCTGTACAGTCTAGCATTCATGTGCCTGGGAGGGTAGGAGGTTACAGGAAGTATGGGATAAACGTTCCATGATGGGAGAAAATCCTCTCGAATCTAGAGGACATTGATGTTTCCTTAAGACCAATGCTTGCCTTCTGTTATGCATTGGAGGAGTATGATGACTTTGTTTGTTTATAAGCATATGTGTGTGGGTTTGGCAGAAAGTAAATGATACAAAGTAAAGCATAGACTATACACAAATGCAAAAATAAGGACTGATTTACGCTAATACCTTGCGTGTCTACTTAGAGATGTTAAGTTGTTGCTTTGGCAGTGGGAAAAGTAGAGGGACGATCTCCCCCAGAATTATCCTCCCCCATAACCAGATGTCTCCCAGCGGGGTTCTCGCCTTCTCTTAGGCATAGATCTTGTGGGAAGAGGTTTGCATAAAACGGTCCTTAGCTTCCATGCCTAGCATAAGAATAATAGTAAGAAGATTCTCAGAATAAGAAAGAAGAGACAGAGAATGAAAGGGGCCTCACTTGTTTGCTTTCAAGGTCTCTGCATTCCAGTCACAGGAAGAAGCAGCAAGTCCAGGGAGAGGTGAATCAGAGAGAGAGCCCAGTACCAAAAGCACACAAGGAGAACTATTCAAAAAATTCTGGAAAGACAATAAAAGGGCAAGTAAACCTTTCCATGAACATCTTTCGTAAACATTTTCTCCCACAATATCCTGTTTATTTCCTTCACGGTATTTATCAGAAGTGGCAATTAGATTACCCGCTCTCTGGTTTACTTCATTATTTCCTGTTTCTCCACGAAAGCATCTTCGACAAGAGTGACTGTCTTTCTCGAGGTCCCTTGAGTGTCTCGGTAATGGAATAAATGAGTATGTGTGCACAGCAGTGACTTTGATGCCAATAAGCTGGGGACATGTGGCTGGGGGAGGTTTGTAGCACTTAGGAGGATATGACAACTCAAAGGATCAGTTTGAGCCTGCCTGTGCAGGCCAAGGAGTTCTGAGATTGTCCTGAAAATTAGCCTTAGACGATACACAGCAGAGAGTCGTCACATCAGCCCTTCCAAGCCACAGGCCGCTTCTGTCACTGGGCTGTCCCATCAGAGACTAGCCGTGCTATTAACTCAGAAACTCAAACAGTGAGGTCTGTGTTGTAGAAGACATTTCCATTTAGAAAAGCCCTTTTCTTCTAAAAAATATTGCTTTACAGCCATGGTCCCAATGACTGTTGGTGAGGGAGCATGTTCCACACTGGTACAGACAGTCCCTGACTTATAATGTTATTATGATGTCATAATGGTGTATGAAAGCAATCTACATTCTATAGAAGCCATTGTTTGGACTTGGAATTTTAATGTTTTCCTAAAGATATGCAGGACATTACTTATTCTGGTGAGTCAGTGTGGCAGCAGAGAGCCATAGCTCCCCTGAGCCAGCTAGTCAGGAAGGTAAACAACCATGTAATTGAGTGGGCTACCTTATCAAGCCATGGTAACACATTGTTAGTATATTCATGCATTTTCAACTTCTGATGAATCTGTCAAGATATAGCCCCATCATAAACCAGGAAACATGAGTGCTCCTAAACATAGACGAAGAACAAGATCCGAGGTCAGTCAGTCCTACTTCTTATTCTACTTTCTTAGCATGCTTTCTTCATCTTACCTACAAGAGACAGTTTCTGCCCCAAGCCAGAAAAGTCAAAGTTCATTCATGGTCTATATCAACACTTCCTGGAAAAAAACAAAATTGTTGTATATGGCATCAATAATATGACTTAGAATCTATCTATAAAGCAGGTTCTGGCCACATAGAGAACATGGAGGCCAGATAACACTTAGTAGACACAAAACATGCCGAGATGCAAGCACCCGTATTGGGGTTCTTGATTCAGGATGCTACTTCCTCCTAAAACAGGATTGTTGAATTTTCCCCTTGAGTCTATGCAGTCCCAATACTTTCACCCCTGATTCCTCTGTTTTGTTTCAATTAGTATATAATAAATCCTATCACTTATAGCCGAGAGAACCCGGAGAAGGGTCATTCCACTTTCTTTAAATTGTAAACTAAAACAAGGAAAAGCACCTCTCCTCCAAGTCTTGGATTGGTAGCTAAGAGTTCATTGTCAACTCTGAGACTTCCCTGAGAGTTAAAGTCTTCCTACCCTACCCTTACTCTTTCTATTTCCAGTCTAACTTGGCACAAAGGGCCAAAGCTCCAAAAAAGAGCAAGAGGAGTCAGGAGATAAACGGCTGAAGACACAACCCTTCCACATCTGTATTTATTCATTTAGCTAACTGGCTTGAGGCAGCAGCAGAATTATGTTCTACTCATGGTAACCCTTCACCCATCGAGTCCCAGCATTTTCTTCTGAGGAAGTAATTCTCCACTGATAGCCCAAACACATGCTGTGTGTTTCTTCCACAGCGAAGATTCTGCAAAGGAAATGAACAACCCAGGCTTTGTCCTTCCCTTCCCCGGCTTACATTTCTCCCCTCTACTCCTAAGCACTTGCTCTTTCCCCTTTCACATGAATACAACAGTATAGTCCACATTGTCCACTAAACTCAGGAAGAATATATTGTAGTAAGATATGCTATTTTTAAATGCAAGGAATAAGGAATGTGTGAACAGGCAGCACTTTGAAACATTACAGCTGACTTCATAGGTCAAAAGACCATAGTAGAAACCTTGTAAATATATCAGAGCATGAACTTGGAATAGTTACTGTCTGGCAAGCAGCTCTACCCTCCACCCGCTTGCTTCTCATCCAGCCTATCCCTACTCACCAACAAAGCCCCTTGTTCAAGTATTGTACATGGAGGACCAGGATAATTATGATTAGCCTAAGCCAGTCGAGATGAGTGCTTGCCTTGGGAAATATTTACCTAGTCTAAGGGTGATCCTGTGGCCCAACTTTATCCCAGATAAGACATGAGGGGAAGATTGCTCAGACCTTGAAAGAAGGATAAAAGTCAAGAAGCTTGTAGTGGGATGGGTGTGTGCCTCTGTCCCATCTGTTCCTGCTCAGGTGCACACGGAGTTTGACATCTGGGAGTGTGACTCACTCCAGCCCAGAAAGGCCTTTTGCATTTTGTGAGATATAATACAAATAACCTCAAGGATGGAGGAAAAAAAATTGGACAAAGCCTAAGTCCTCTGGAACTCTTAGTAATCAATTGCCAATGGCTGATGCCACTATTAATGAGAATGCTAATTTCATGCAACTGAACATATCCTAGCTGATAAGAGATGAAATATAAATAATAACTTTCTACCTATTAGTCCTATTGTAACACTGTTACTCAAAGTGATAAGTAATAGTTAATGCACATATAAACATGGATACCTATACTATTTTCAATACAGTACCATAACTCTTGGTCCATAACTTCTGCTATAAGTCAACTCGATACAAATACAGAAGAGTAACTTGTAGGTAGAACAAAGTAAGAATTCAATTTCACAAATGCTGAAGTATACTTGATCTAGATTCACTTTATGCACCATTTCTTTCATGTACAGCTTTAGCATTTACAGATATGATTAAAAACAGATTAACTGAACAGAATGTGTAATGGCCCTCAGCTGAGTATAGAAAATTAAAACAGATTTGAAAACTCCTCTGCAACACTCAGGATTTAAACCCACTGAATGTGTCAGCAATTTTGGACTCTCACAGTAAGAGATAAAAGACGCAAAGATAAAGGGATGCACAAAATGAAAAAGTCTTTGGGGATATTAAGGCAATTACGAGCAATATGGAAGTAATCAGAACTTGGTCGACAGACCAAATAAGACCTTATGAAATTAATATATGAGCCAACATTTGCAAAATGTTGCATGCCTTTAGATTACATGTGTCTACAAAAGAAATCAAGGGTTTCATTCAGTCCACAGACATGAAACATTAGCAATGGATGAAATGCGAAAGGCCTCCCTAGGCTGCCGCACAGACCGGCATGGTGAAACTTAAAGCCTTATTCAGCCAAGAGCCAAATTTTAGGGGTTGAAGCAGTGCCTTTTAATCATTTCGTCGTGAGAGATGGAATAATGAAGGAGTCGAGAGCATGCAAACAGCAAAGAGGAACAGTCACGTTTATTGTAAGCAAGAGTGCTTCAAACATTTGATATTGAGAAAGTTGACTCGGGTTTTTATGTTGGCAAATGTTCATTACTGAACCAACAAATGTCAAAGGGCATAACAAATGAGTCCAGTGTCCTATCCTGAACATATGGGACTGCCTGGATGTGGGCACCATCTATTGATTAATAAGATCAAGACACCCACATTAGAGCATACTATGTTCCCCTGGAGGCTTCCTAAGAGAGGAAGAAGAGCCATAGACTTAGATAACCATAGCTTGAAGCTATCAGCCGGCACAAATCTCATAGAGATGAGGATGCAGCCGACAGATGCGACCCGAAACACACCAGACAGCAAAATCACAGCGTCACAGCGAGGCAGATGAGAAGCTAGTCTGTGTCTGGCTTACATGTGATGGTTTGGAAGCTGACAAGTTGCAATCTCGGTCTCAGGGCTGCAGCTGTCCCCTCACTCATCCACTTGGGTGTTTCTCTCCAGCTCCTGTGCTTTCTCTTGTGGTTCTTCAAATGCAGCCGTATCCTAAAAAGAGTAACTTAATCATATCAAAGGCCTTTGAACCTGAATAATGCCACAAAGGCAAGGCAGGGCTGGTATTTCTGTTGCTAATTTATTTCACTGCCTCTTCCATTTGCTGCTTTTCCACATCTGGGAAAAGCTGGGTGAGTGCACCAGATCTTGCCATTAAAGGGCAGCCTACCTGCTTCCTCTCTGCCATATTCACAATCATATCACAAGGGCACCTTTTTTCCTGGGCTGAAACTTTGCCAGACGCAGGCTGTGATGCTGGCAATTAGAAGTTCCTGCTTCAGGAGGCTTTTCCTTACAGTCCCCCTAACTGTGACAATCCCATTTGAAACCTGGTATTTGCACATCGCAAGAGGAACCACCAGATGGAGGAGCCACCAAGTAGCCATGTTTAGAATCTGCCAGTGAGTTGTCAGACAAAATATCTGGAACTCTTGGATCATGTAAGCAAATCACCTTTTTTCTTTAGTGCTCACAATGGAAGGAAAACAATTGATAAGTTATGCAATGTGTCATGTCCAGGACATTTCCCACTACCGCTAAGTGTTGGTCCAGAAACACATGAGCAACAAAGGCCTTCTTGGCTTTAAAGGATGCTGTTGGGAGGCAAGAGAGACAGATGCCTGTTGTTGTTGTCTTTCCAGAGTGTGAGTAGTCGAGATGAGTGTAGGAGGCAAGCAAGATGCAGACTGCAAATAGAAGTTCCTCTTATGCAGTCATGGCAACGTAAAGAAAGGATGGGTTAAGCTTATGATAAAATGGTACCCAGGCTGACCTCTCAGGTTAAAGATGAAGTCCTCAGTATCTCCCCTAGATGGTAGCTATTAGGTATCTCAGCAACGAAAGATGTCACTTAAGCCTGGGTAAATGAATGCTGAGGACCAAAAACTATCACCTCTCCTAATGCTCACCACCGTGAAGGGCATCATCTTCCTTTTCCACACATAGCCCTTACAGTTTAAGGTGCACAGAATGGGGACAAGAAGTGGGATGGATGCTCATTTCTTTGAGAAAACACATGCATGAAATTTTAAGAAAAAGTAGAAATGGAGACCCATAAAGCAATGCAAAGTCATTGTGGGCATGTTGCTTTTGAAAAACACAGGGAAATATACTGTGATGTCTTTAGGGGTGGTTAATATTTTTCTCATAAAAATATCCATATCTAGTCTATATCTATATCCATATAGTCTGTATTCACATTTAGTATAAAACCTGAATTCCAAAGAATGTGTTCCTGGAATCATAGCATACTGTTCAAAAGACTGGATGGAACTGAGCTCCTGGGTCAGACCTAGAGCCAGAGTTCTGGGAAGAGCTGGCTAGAGTACAGACAGACAGACACACCTGAAATACAGCCAATATTGAGCAAATAACATAGCGCTTCCTACGTGTTGCTAGTGATGCCTGATATGACATGTATGACTCATTCAGTCCTCTCCATGATCTTGTAAGTAGGTGTGACTATCACCTTGCCTGTATGGATTCTGCCTGTGGCCACACAACATATAGTGGTTATCTAATGTTGCATGACAAATCTCCAAAACATTATGGTTTAAAACCAGCCACTCATTTCTAAATTTCAGTTTGACTAAGTAATGTCAAGTCACGGTCTCTCACCAGACATCA